GTCTTCAAGGAGCCCTTTGAAAGTTGTCCATATAGACAGGTTGGCGAGGTATTACGGCAGCAACGATGCTCGGGACGAGCGAATCTAAGAGGGGGGCAGTGTGACAGAAAACTCTTTGACATCATGACGTCAATGGATGGTTGTCAAACGTTGCCTAGAGATTGTAAATTTCGTCGTGAATTGTCAACACGAGTTGGTGTAATCGGTAAGGCGTGTGGATTACACCACAGAGACCCCGAGTTCGAGTCCCGCCGTAAACATGAAGTTTTTTAGTTGATGGAAGTTTTGTCGAACTTTCTGGAATATTTGAGTGAAAGTGATGAAAAATTAAGGAGCGAGAAGAAGAATAAATAAAAATGAATAACGAAATTATTGGAAGATTCTGGAGGCATGACGATCAAAAAGAATAACGAAATTGAATGTTCTAGAACCTGACCGGGGGTATATAAGCGGAACTGCGGCTCACCGCTGGCAGTTGAGTTCTAAGTCTAAAGCGATTCGGAAGAAAAGGAAGAAGTGAGAAAGAAGAAAAGTGAGTGAAATAGTGAAGTGCAGTGAAATAGTGAAGTGCAGTCAGTTAAGTGAGTTAAGTCAGCGTGAACGGCAAAGTTGTGTCAGTCGGCCGGACTCTGCTGGAGAGGAACGCCGATAACTTAACTCCGTGGACGCTGTAACTTAAGTGCAATAGAAAGTCTGAAAACCGGTATTAGTGTTTCATTTCATCCAATCCCGTAACCCAAGCCCGCATAGTCAGGAACGTGACGTCAGGCACGTAACATTTAACATTTGGTGTCAGAAGTGGGATTGGAGAAAAATGCCGCTAGTGCCGCAGGACGTAAGAGGAGTGAGTACCCGTTCAATGTCAGAAGCGCAGCGTGTGAGGGAAGAGGGTGCTGCAGCTCAAACCAGCGATGCAGAAGCCAAGCCTGTGCAGGTGGATCTTCTGCTACAGCTGCAGCAAATGATGGCAGAGCAAGCGCGCCGCCAAGAAGAGCAAGCGCGCCGCCAAGAAGAGCAAGCGCGCTGTCAGGCAGAACAGCTGCGGGAGCTGAAAGAAGAGCAAGCGCGCCGCCAAGAAGAGCAAGCGCGCCGCCAAGAGGAGCAAGCACGCTGTCAGGCAGAACAGCTACGGGAGCAAGCACACTGTCAGGCGGAGCAGCTACGGGAGCTGAAAGAGATGCATAAGGATTTCACGAAGGGACTGCAAAAGGCTGTCGAACGGGTACAAGAAGTGGAGGAAGGGTTAGGCAAGTTGGAACATCGCGTCATGGCGATAGAGGAGAGAGTGGAAGAAGAGATCTCCAAAATCAAGCAGGAAGTGGCAAGCCCAAGCCCTTTGAAGAGCCGAAGCCGTCTTGCAGCCGTTTTTGACACCCCAAATGTGGCCTCAAGCGCAACGAAAGGGCTCAAGATTCCCCATTACGACGGAACAACATCCTGGACCGCGTTCAAGCTACAGTTTGAGACACTTATGGAGGCTTATGGTTGGACTCAGAAGGAAGCACAGTCAGCCCTCACCCTGGCCCTCCGTGATCAAGCGCTCTCAGTGCTGGAAGCTATCGGCGCAAGTGGGGATCTCAGCTTTAGTGCCCTCCTCGACGCACTTGAGGCACGTTTTGGAGACAGCCACCTCGAGCACGTGTACAGAGCGCAATTAAAAGAGCGTACTCAGCGTGCTAATGAGAGTCTACAGCAATGGTCCGTGGAAATCGAAAAACTTGTGCGTCGAGCTTTCCGGTCGACTCCGTCAATGATTGAAGGCACGCTTCTCCAAGCGTTCATTGACGGTATTCGGGACCCCGAAGTACGAGCTGCTGTTCATCTGGGCCATCACAAGAACATGAAAGAAGCTCTGGCCCATGCATTGGAAGTGGAAGCCGTGCGTGGCAACTCCCGTACCTTACGTCTGCGGGAAATGACGACAACGGAGCAGGTACCTCCACGCCGTCGGAATTTCATGTGCTATGGATGTGGAGAGCGTGGGCACATACGGAGCGACTGCTCGAAGAAGATGAACCGCCAGGACGCGGCGGTCTCAACTTCTGACCAGCAGGGAAACTTAAATCCAGCCAGGGCTGCGGGGTGGGCGTTGGCTGGTAATGGAACAACCCCAACAATCTACATCAAGCAAACCAACGATGGAAATACTCTGGTGATAGACGGTCAAGTAAATGGGAAAAACAGTCAGCTAACATTAGATACTGGAGCTTCAAGGACGGTGATGAATGTTCGGCTGCTCGAGCAAAACATCAGGAAACACCTTAAACCAATTGTTGGCCTACAAATGAAATCAGCTACCGGCCAGTGCATACCGATAAGTGGAAAACTGCATGTAACAATCAAAATTGGGGAACGTGTTTATCGACATGAGGTAATTGTGGCCAAAATTCTGGATGACTGCATCCTGGGACTTGACTTCCTGCAAGGGCACCAGTGTAACATCGACCTAAAATCTGGAGTTTTACTATGTGGAACTGAGGAAATTCCGATGAAGGGTGGAACCCTGGGAAAAGTTTGCTGTTTAAGAAGAACTGTTCTTGAACCAAAATCACAGACTCTCGTACCAATCGCATTACCTAGGAGGAGGGAAGGAAGTTTACCTCTAAGGTGCGCTGTGATTGATAAATCGGAACACGTAAACTCATGGCTACCGGCGAGAACTGTCGTGGGGTCATCTGATGTCAACCGCATCCCGGTATTCAACTTCAGTGATTCAAAAATTACGATTGAAGAAGGAGAGCCTGTGGGCGTATTGGAAGAAGTGGCCTGGATAAGAAAATGCTCGGAGAATCTTGTGAAGAAGGACAGTACGGGAATAGACTTTGTAACGAAAATCTTAGACGAAAACAAAAGTCTGACAAAAGTGGAGACTATGAAAGCTAGAAATTTACTTCTTCGATTCTCTGATGTGTTTTCAAGAAGCGATGGTGATATTGGCCGAACTGGTTTGGTGAAGCATAAAATAAACACAGGTGATACAATGCCAATTCGTCAAAGGCCCAGACGCATACCATTCGCTCGTGAGAAAGAGGTTGAAGAAATGATTGACGATATGAGGAAAAATGACGTGATAGAGCCCTCTTCTAGCCCTTGGTGTTCACCTGTCGTGCTTGTCAAGAAGAAAGATGGTTCAACGAGGTTTTGCGTAGACTATCGACGATTGAATGATGTAACCAAGAAGGATAGCTACCCGTTACCAAGAATCGATGACACACTTGACACACTGAGTGGCATGAAATGGTTTTCAACGCTCGATCTGAAAAGCGGCTATTGGCAGGTGGATTTGGATCCCAAGGACAAGGAAAAGACCGCATTCTCAACTGGGAAGGGACTCTGGCAATTTAAGGTGATGCCATTTGGATTATGCAATGCACCGGCAACCTTTGAGCGTTTGATGGAACAGGTGCTGGCGGGACTGCTGGGCGAAACCTGCCTAGTTTACCTCGATGACATCATCATTGTTGGACGGGATTTTGACGATCATCTTAGGAAATTGGAAAAGGTACTCGACAAGCTGCGTGGAGCTAATTTAAAGTTGAGTCCAAAGAAATGCTCTTTCTTCAAGCGCGAAGTGAATTATCTAGGACATGTTATTTCTGAGAGAGGAATTGAGACTGATCCAGCCAAGACTGTCGCTGTTAAGGAATGGCCAACACCTAAAGACAAAACGCAAGTTCGCGCATTTCTTGGATTGTGCTCGTATTATCGGCGGTTTGTGAAAGGATTCTCGGACATTGCCAAGCCTTTGCATCGATTGACAGAGGAGAAACGTGCCTTTATCTGGGACGAGGATTGTGAGCAGGCCTTCCGAGAACTAAAAGAACGGCTTTGTAACACACCAATTCTCGGATACCCCAGCGCGAAAGGAATATTCGTAGTTGATACGGATGCCAGCAATATTGGAATAGGAGGTGTCCTTTCACAACGCGATGGTGAGCAGGAGAAGGTTATTGCTTACTTCAGCAAGTCACTATCCAAGCCGGAGAGGAATTATTGCGTGACCAGGAGGGAATTGCTGGCCGTAGTCAAAACTCTGCACCATTTCAAGAAGTATTTACTGGGACGGAAATTTTTGATCAGAACTGATCACGCTGCTTTGAAATGGCTGCTTCAGTTTAAGGATCCCGAAGGCCAAGTAGCCAGATGGTTGGAACAACTTCAGGAATTTGACTTTGAAATCGAACATCGCGGCGGAAGAATTCATGGCAACGCAGATGCATTATCGAGACGCCCATGCGTGGAAGATTGCAAGCATTGTGCCAAGAAGGAAACTGCTTTTCTTAAGGTGATAAGGACTGATACTGTTGACGAGGCATGGGGAGATGATGCGATGAAATTAGAACAGGAAAGAGATGCAGATATTAAACCAATACTGGAGTGGCTACGAAGTGGTAACAAGCCAAGTTGGAGTGACGTCGCCCAATATAGCGCGGTAACGAAAGGTTTATGGGCACAGTGGAAAAGCCTTACGCTGCATAACGGACTTCTGTGCAGGAAATGGGAATCAACAAACGGCAAGGACGAGCATTTGCAATTGGTGGTGCCTCGTTCAAAAATAAGGGATGTATTAAAAGCGTTCCATGATGGATCTTCTGGAGGACATTTGGGAATTAGGAGGACTTTGGTGAAGATCAAGGAGAGGTTTTATTGGTTGCATTGCAAATATGACGTCGAAGATTGGTGCCGGAAATGCACTAGTTGTGCAGCTGTCAAGGGTCCACAAACAAGAAGCAGAGGGGCGATGAAAATCTACAATGTTGGTATGCCTTGGGAGAGAATAGCCTTAGACATCGCTGGACCATTTCCAATCACTGATTCGGGCAATCGCTACGTTTTAGTGGTTATGGATTATTTTACAAAATGGCCGGAGGTCTTTGCCATACCGAACCAAGAGGCAGTAACTGTAGCCACGAAGTTGGTTAGAGTTAAAGTTGCCTAGAGATTGTAAATTTCGTCGTGAATTGTCAACACGAGTTGGTGTAATCGGTAAGGCGTGTGGATTACACCACAGAGACCCCGAGTTCGAGTCCCGCCGTAAACATGAAGTTTTTTAGTTGATGGAAGTTTTGTCGAACTTTCTGGAATATTTGAGTGAAAGTAATGAAAAATTAAGGAGCGAGAAGGAGAATAAATAAAAATGAGTAACGAAATTATTGGAAGGTTCTGGAGTCATGACGATCAAAAAGAATAACGAAATTGAATGTTCCAGAACCTGAACCAGGGGTATATAAGCGGAACTGCGGCTCACCGCTGGCAGTTGAGTTCTAAGTCTAAAGCGATTCGGAAGAAAAGGAAGAAGTGAGAAAGAAGAAAAGTGAGTGAAATAGTGAAGTGCAGTGAAATAGTGAAGTGCAGTCAGTTAAGTGAGTTAAGTCAGCGTGAACGGCAAAGTTGTGTCAGTCGGCCGGACTCTGCTGGAGAGGAACGCCGATAACTTAACTCCTTGGACGCTGTAACTTAAGTGCAATAGAAAGTCTGAAAACCGGTATTAGTGTTTCATTTCATCCAATCCCGTAACCCAAGCCCGCATAGTCAGGAACGTGACGTCAGGCACGTAACATTTGGCATGACGATCAAAAAGAATAACGAAATTGAATGTTCTAGAACCTGACCGGGGGTATATAACCGGAACTGCGGCTCACCGCTGGCAGTTGAGTTCTAAGTCTAAAGCGATTCGGAAGAAAAGGAAGAAGTGAGAAAGAAGAAAAGTGAGTGAAATAGTGAAGTGCAGTGAAATAGTGAAGTGCAGTCAGTTAAGTGAGTTAAGTCAGCGTGAACGGCAAAGTTGTGTCAGTCGGCCGGACTCTGCTGGAGAAGAACGCCGATTTCATCCAATCCCGTAACCCAAGCCCGCATAGTCAGGAACGTGACGTCAGGCACGTAACATTTATGTTACGTGCCTGACGTTGGGCTTGGGTTACGGGATTGGATGAAATGAAACACTAATACCGGTTTTCAGACTTTCTATTGCACTTAAGTTACAGCGTCCACGGAGTTAAGTTATCGGCGTTCCTCTCCAGCAGAGTCCGGCCGACTGACACAACTTTGCCGTTCACGCTGACTTAACTCACTTAACTGACTGCACTTCACTATTTCACTGCACTTCACTATTTCACTCACTTTTCTTCTTTCTCACTTCTTCCTTTTCTTCCGAATCGCTTTAGACTTAGAACTCAACTGCCAGCGGTGAGCCGCAGTTCCGGTTATATACCCCCGGTCAGGTTCTAGAACATTCAATTTCGTTATTCTTTTTGATCGTCATGCCAAATGTTACGTGCCTGACGTCACGTTCCTGACTATGCGGGCTTGGGTTACGGGATTGGATGAAATGAAACACTAATACCGGTTTTCAGACTTTCTATTGCACTTAAGTTACAGCGTCCAAGGAGTTAAGTTATCGGCGTTCCTCTCCAGCAGAGTCCGGCCGACTGACACAACTTTGCCGTTCACGCTGACTTAACTCACTTAACTGACTGCACTTCACTATTTCACTGCACTTCACTATTTCACTCACTTTTCTTCTTTCTCACTTCTTCCTTTTCTTCCGAATCGCTTTAGACTTAGAACTCAACTATTCCAGAAAGTTCGACAAAACTTCCATCAACTAAAAAACTTCATGTTTACGGCGGGACTCGAACTCGGGGTCTCTGTGGTGTAATCCACACGCCTTACCGATTACACCAACTCGTGTTGACAATTCACGACGAAATTTACAATCTCTAGGCAACGTTTGACAACCATCCATTGACGTCATGATGTCAAAGAGTTTTCTGTCACACTGCCCCCCTCTTAGATTCGCTCGTCCCGAGCATCGTTGCTGCCGTAATACCTCGCCAACCTGTCTATATGGACAACTTTCAAAGGGCTCCTTGAAGACTTCCGAATTCTGTAAGTAATGTCATTGATCTTCGTGACTATCTCGTAAGGACCTTCCCAACTCGGTTGCAGCTTTGGAGATTTTCCCTTCCTTCTGACTGGATTATGAAGCCAGACCAATGACCCCTCTTCAAACCCAACAGAATTGGCTCGTCGATCATAGCGCGTCTTTGCGCGATCACTAGCTTGAAGACCGGCCTCCCTGATCTGCTCATAAATGTCCAACATTTTTGCCCTTAACTCGCTTATGTAATCGCTAAACTCGGTGCGAGAATCACCAGGTGGACAGCCCGATACAAGATCTGCCGGTAATCTCAATTCCCTTCCAAAATTTGCAAATGCAGGCGTCTTTGCGGTACTTTCATGTACAGCAGTCCGATAGGCAAGCAAGAAGAGAGGTATGTAAGTGTCCCAATCTCTCTGATGGCTGTCAACCACCTTTGCTAAGTGTCGCTCCAATGTTTGGTTGAAGCGTTCGACCATTCCATCTGACTGTGGATGATAAGGGGTCGTTCGAGTCTTATGGATTCCCAAAAGTTTACAAGTTTCCTGGAAAACTTGGGATTCAAAGTTCCGTCCTTGATCACTGTGCATCTCCAAGGGCACTCCGAATCGGGTGAATACCTCGTTTACCAACTTCGTGGCTACAGTTACTGCCTCTTGATTCGGTATGGCAAAGACCTCCGGCCATTTTGTAAAATAATCCATAACCACTAAAACGTAGCGATTGCCCGAATCAGTGATTGGAAATGGTCCAGCGATGTCTAAGGCTATTCTCTCCCAAGGCATACCAACATTGTAGATTTTCATCGCCCCTCTGCTTCTTGTTTGTGGACCCTTGACAGCTGCACAACTAGTGCATTTCCGGCACCAATCTTCGACGTCATATTTGCAATGCAACCAATAAAACCTCTCCTTGATCTTCACCAAAGTCCTCCTAATTCCCAAATGTCCTCCAGAAGATCCATCATGGAACGCTTTTAATACATCCCTTATTTTTGAACGAGGCACCACCAATTGCAAATGCTCGTCCTTGCCGTTTGTTGATTCCCATTTCCTGCACAGAAGTCCGTTATGCAGCGTGAGGCTTTTCCACTGTGCCCATAAACCTTTCGTTACCGCGCTATATTGGGCGACGTCACTCCAACTTGGCTTGTTACCACTTCGTAGCCACTCCAGTATTGGTTTGATATCTGCATCTCTTTCCTGTTCTAATTTCATCGCATCATCTCCCCATGCCTCGTCAACAGTATCAGTCCTTATCACCTTAAGAAAAGCAGTTTCCTTCTTGGCACAATGCTTGCAATCTTCCACGCATGGGCGTCTCGATAATGCATCTGCGTTGCCATGAATTCTTCCGCCGCGATGTTCGATTTCAAAGTCAAATTCCTGAAGTTGTTCCAACCATCTGGCTACTTGGCCTTCGGGATCCTTAAACTGAAGCAGCCATTTCAAAGCAGCGTGATCAGTTCTGATCAAAAATTTCCGTCCCAGTAAATACTTCTTGAAATGGTGCAGAGTTTTGACTACGGCCAGCAATTCCCTCCTGGTCACGCAATAATTCCTCTCCGGCTTGGATAGTGACTTGCTGAAGTAAGCAATAACCTTCTCCTGCTCACCATCGCGTTGTGAAAGGACACCTCCTATTCCAATATTGCTGGCATCCGTATCAACTACGAATATTCCTTTCGCGCTGGGGTATCCGAGAATTGGTGTGTTACAAAGCCGTTCTTTTAGTTCTCGAAAGGCTTGCTCACAATCCTCGTCCCAGATAAAGGCACGTTTCTCCTCTGTCAATCGATGCAAAGGCTTGGCAATGTCCGAGAATCCTTTCACAAACCGCCGATAATACGAGCACAATCCAAGAAATGCCCGAACTTGCGTTTTGTCTTTAGGTGTTGGCCATTCCTTAACAGCGGCAGTCTTGGCTGGATCAGTCTCAATTCCTCTCTCAGAAATAACATGTCCTAGATAATTCACTTCGCGCTTGAAGAAAGAGCATTTCTTTGGACTCAACTTTAAATTTGCTCCACGCAGCTTATCGAGTACCTTTTCCAATTTCCTTAGATGATCGTCAAAATCCCGTCCAACAATGATGATGTCATCGAGGTAAACTAGGCAGGTTTCGCCCAGCAGTCCCGCCAGCACCTGTTCCATCAAACGCTCAAAGGTTGCCGGTGCATTGCATAATCCAAATGGCATCACCTTAAATTGCCAGAGTCCCTTCCCAGTTGAGAATGCGGTCTTTTCCTTGTCCTTGGGATCCAAATCCACCTGCCAATAGCTGCTTTTCAGATCGAGCGTTGAAAACCATTTCATGCCACTCAGTGTGTCAAGTGTGTCATCGATTCTTGGTAACGGGTAGCTATCCTTCTTGGTTACATCATTCAATCGTCGATAGTCTACGCAAAACCTCGTTGAACCATCTTTCTTCTTGACAAGCACGACAGGTGAACACCAAGGGCTAGAAGAGGGCTCTATCACGTCATTTTTCCTCATATCGTCAATCATTTCTTCAACCTCTTTCTCACGAGCGAATGGTATGCGTCTGGGCCTTTGACGAATTGGCATTGTATCACCTGTGTTTATTTTATGCTTCACTAAACCAGTTCGGCCAATATCACCATCGCTTCTTGAAAACACATCAGAGAATCGAAGAAGTAAATTTCTAGCTTTCATAGTCTCCACTTTTGTCAGACTTTTGTTTTCGTCTAAGATTTTCGTTACAAAGTCTATTCCCGTACTGTACTTCTTCACAAGATTCTCCGAGCATTTTCTTATCCAGGCCACTTCTTCCAATACGCCCACAGGCTCTCCTTCTTCAATCGTAATTTTTGAATCACTGAAGTTGAATACCGGAATGCGGTTGACATCAGATGACCCCACGACAGTTCTCGCCGGTAGCCATGAGTTTACGTGTTCCGATTTATCAATCACAGCGCACCTTAGAGGTAAACTTCCTTCCCTCCTCCTAGGTAATGCGATTGGTACGAGAGTCTGTGATTTTGGTTCAAGAACAGTTCTTCTTAAACAGCAAACTTTTCCCAGGGTTCCACCCTTCATCGGAATTTCTTCAGTTCCACATAGTAATACTCCAGATTTTAAGTCGATGTTACACTGGTGCCCTTGCAGGAAGTCAAGTCCCAGGATGCAGTCATCCAGAATTTTGGCCACAATAACCTCATGTCGATAAACACGTTCCCCAATTTTGATTGTTACATGCAGTTTTCCACTTATCGGTATGCACTGGCCGGTAGCTGATTTCATTCGTAGGCCAACAATTGGTTTAACGTGTTTCCTGATGTTTTGCCCGAGCAGCCGAACATTCATCACCGTCCTTGAAGCTCCAGTATCTAATGTTAGCTGACTGTTTTTCCCATTTACTTGACCGTCTATCACCAGAGTATTTCCATCGTTGGTTTGCTTGATGTAGATTGTTGGGGTTGTTCCATTACCAGCCAACGCCCACCCCGCAGCCCTGGCTGGATTTAAGTTTCCCTGCTGGTCAGAAGTTGAGACCGCCGCGTCCTGGCGGTTCATCTTCTTCGAGCAGTCGCTCCGTATGTGCCCACGCTCTCCACATCCATAGCACATGAAATTCCGACGGCGTGGAGGTACCTGCTCCGTTGTCGTCATTTCCCGCAGACGTAAGGTACGGGAGTTGCCACGCACGGCTTCCACTTCCAATGCATGGGCCAGAGCTTCTTTCATGTTCTTGTGATGGCCCAGATGAACAGCAGCTCGTACTTCGGGGTCCCGAATACCGTCAATGAACGCTTGGAGAAGCGTGCCTTCAATCATTGACGGAGTCGACCGGAAAGCTCGACGCACAAGTTTTTCGATTTCCACGGACCATTGCTGTAGACTCTCATTAGCACGCTGAGTACGCTCTTTTAATTGCGCTCTGTACACGTGCTCCAGGTGGCTGTCTCCAAAACGTGCCTCAAGTGCGTCGAGGAGGGCACTAAAGCTGAGATCCCCACTTGCGCCGATAGCTTCCAGCACTGAGAGCGCTTGATCACGGAGGGCCAGGGTGAGGGCTGACTGTGCTTCCTTCTGAGTCCAACCATAAGCCTCCATAAGTGTCTCAAACTGTAGCTTGAACGCGGTCCAGGATGTTGTTCCGTCGTAATGGGGAATCTTGAGCCCTTTCGTTGCGCTTGAGGCCACATTTGGGGTGTCAAAAACGGCTGCAAGACGGCTTGCCACTTCCTGCTTGATTTTGGAGATCTCTTCTTCTTATTCTCTCCTCTATCGCCATGACGCGATGTTCCAACTTGCCTAACCCTTCCTCCACTTCTTGTACCCGTTCGACAGCCTTTTGCAGTCCCTTCGTGAAATCCTTATGCATCTCTTTCAGCTCCCGTAGCTGCTCCGCCTGACAGTGTGCTTGCTCCCGTAGCTGTTCTGCCTGACAGCGTGCTTGCTCCTCTTGGCGGCGCGCTTGCTCTTCTTGGCGGCGCGCTTGCTCTTCTTTCAGCTCCCGCAGCTGTTCTGCCTGACAGCGCGCTTGCTCTTCTTGGCGGCGCGCTTGCTCTTCTTGGCGGCGCGCTTGCTCTGCCATCATTTGCTGCAGCTGTAGCAGAAGATCCACCTGCACAGGCTTGGCTTCTGCATCGCTGGTTTGAGCTGCAGCACCCTCTTCCCTCACACGCTGCGCTTCTGACATTGAACGGGTACTCACTCCTCTTACGTCCTGCGGCACTAGCGGCATTTTTCTCCAATCCCACTTCTGACACCAAATGTTACGTGCCTGACGTCACGTTCCTAACTATGCGGGCTTGGGTTACGGGATTGGATGAAATTAAACACTAATACCGGTTTTCAGACTTTCTATTGCACTTAAGTGACAGCGTCCACGGATACGGATAAGTTATCGGCGTTCCTCTCCAGCAGAGTCCGGCCGACTGACACAACTTTGCCGTTCACTGTTCACGCTGACTTAACTCACTTAACTGACTGCACTTCACTATTTCACTGTACTTCACTATTTCACTCACTTTTCTTCTTTTCACTTCTTCCTTTTCTTCCGAATCGCTTTGGACTTAGAACTCAACTGCCAGCGGTGAGCCGCAGTTCCGCTTATATACCCCTGGTCAGGTTCTAGAACATTCAATTTCGTTATTCTTTTTGATCGTCATGCCTCCAGAACCTTCCAATAATTTCGTTATTCATTTTTATTTATTCTCCTTCTCGCTCCTTAATTTTTCATTACTTTCACTCAAATATTCCAGAAAGTTCGACAAAACTTCCATCAACTAAAAAACTTCATGTTTACGGCGGGACTCGAACTCGGGGTCTCTGTGGTGTAATCCACACGCCTTACCGATTACACCAACTCGTGTTGACAATTCACGACGAAATTTACAATCTCTAGGCAACGTTTGACAACCATCCATTGACGTCATGATGTCAAAGAGTTTTCTGTCACACAATGTTTATGTTTTGAGTCTTATTTGGTATATTTTGAAGTTGATTATTTAAGAGCAGATTTTAAAAAGATTTAGAGAGAGAAGGCTTTTATTTTTTCGTTTACTTGATTATTTTTTCGTTCATTATGTTTTTTTTTTTTATTTTAAAGGCAGTAGTTTCAGTAACTATCACAATAATACGAAGTTGGTTAAATTTAAGAGACTTGTCTTAAAGACTGAATTCAATTAAGGATCTCAATGTATGATTATTAACGTTACGAAAAATAAACAAATTGATTTATAAATATTCTTTTCTTTTTATCTTTTTCATATAAGTACCACCCAATGTACATATAAACGAACAAAATAAATAACCTCAATGTAGTAAATAACGCCTATTGTTCATTTAAATGAACAAAATGAATCACTCAAAAATTGATTTCCTGATCTCCTACATAACGCCCGAGTATGCCCAAAAATATACAAAAAAATCCTATGCACATATTTACGAAAAAATAAGTGCGTTCTTGCTTGGGCATTTACAATAACCTTATATTATGTACATTAAAATGAACACTGGGCATTTAGCTCTCATGATATTTTTTATGCTTGGGCGTTACGAGGGTATTGGCACTTGAGAGAGATTTAGTTTATTTTTTCGTTTGTTGTCTGTTATCTGCTTGTTAATAAGCAGTACAATATTCAAACCTTTATTGATCAAGCTAATCATCTATTTATTGCAGAAATCATGTTCAGAATTTTTGTTGCGAAATAAAACCGGTGTAAAACAACCTTTGCGTTACATACACCCTTACCTCTCAATAAAATTGTCTTTACCTCATCCAGAATTCGGATCGGAGCTAGAGGAAGTACAGTCTCCATATCCATTCTGGCTCGTGCCTGTCCGAGGATCATGAGAGTGTCTCCTGTCGTGGACATCGCATTAGTCATCGCTTCTGATGCCATCTTCTGAGCTAACTCTGGACTCATCCCTTTGGCACCACGCTTCGACTGAAATATTATAAGAAATAGTACCACTAGTATGAAATGCCGCTTTTAGAATTTTCGACTGCGGCTTATATGTAAGGCAAAGTCTACTTTTGAATCCACTATAGTTGGTTTGTCGGTCAAGAAGTTTGCAGTCTAAAGCGATTAAATACTACTCAAATTAAAATAAAGTATAATCTTATCACATCCTGTCTAAGCTGAATCAATCTAACAAAAAGAAAATATATCAACTTACTTTTTAAAATCAAATGATCATTTTAGTTACTTGGTGCAATAATTTAAAAAGAGAATAATGTTCCATTTCTTTTATATTACTTCATTGTGCATTTACTAATTTTACCTTTTCAAACTCCAAGCCCATCTTCCTGACGAGGCGGGCCACCTTCGCTGTCCCTCCATGCATCAGCTTCCAATTGGCCAATCTGATTCGTTGCAGCTCTAGATCCGTATTGTAAGCGTATATTTCTGACTTCCTGTTTTATATCAAATAGTTTATTAAGGTTTTTTTCGGAACAATCAGACATTTGGCCTCTATCAAGCGTGGCAATAATGCCCTACCCTGAACCTACAATAGAGCATGCCTTCAGGCCACTAGACACTAGACTACACAGACTCCGGCAGAGAATTCCACACCTAGCGTTTCGGATTATAAAACTGGAAGAAAACCGGTTCGAGCCTATAGGTGGGATTTCCACCATAAAGCGATGACGTTTTGTCGATTGTCTGGTGGAAATGATTGCTTACCATCTGGTAATCTGTTTGCTCGTTTGCAAATCTATCGCATAAAAAAAACGTATTTGTAGTAACTCCTTTGGTATTACGATTCTCCATTGGCGGCGCTGATTGATTACCATCAGGTAATCCGTCGGCTCGTTGGGTGACCTATACAATAAAAAAACTTTCTTCAAAACTAAAATCTTTCATTAAAAAGGCTGAAACTATTTTCTCGATCATTGACTATGCATCATATCCTATATACACAATACTTGAGAACAATCAGTATTATCCACTTCAAGTTTCTTTTCACAGTTTATTAGCTCTCACTTAACTTCTACAAAAGCAATTTAGATGTCGTTCGGAACACAATCAGGACTTTATTGCTCTGTAATCTGTCGCTATAAAGACTAAATGAATCAACATAAATTAGGATTACTTGCTTATTGTCTCAACGATCTGGGATTTCAATAGCTTTGCCAAATTGATTCTTAATAGCCAAAACGACGAGTCTCTCTAAGTTTTACTTTTATGCCATAATGAGTAACAGGCTAACATTCAATGTTAGGAAAAATATTTAGGTTTTATACCGCGACAAAACCCAGGTTTGTTGCAGGATGCAATCCCACTCCTATGCAATCATGCATATGCCCATGCAGCAAAGGTAACATGCATATGCACACGTGCAAAAAACGGAAAAACATGCCACGCAATCAAACTTATACTCGACACGTGTTTTGCCCCTCCACAGGGCATCCTCAGGAGATCTCGTGACTCGATGAGCTGTCGTGAGATCGTAGACTCGACGACAGCTCATCGAGTCAACATCTTTGCATAGGAGTAGGATTGCAACAAGCCTGGATTTTGTCGCGGAATATAAACTAAATATTTTTCCTAACATTAAATGTCATGGATTTCCGCAGAGTAACGCCTGATTCAATAAATTTATTGGCTGGCCTTTGGCCGCTGTTTCGCTTGGTGGTAAGCTTAATGCGACTTACGATGGAGCACGCCTACCCATAAGCAACCTGTTTATTCAGACCTTGAAGACGCAGGTGACCAGGTTTACAGCAAAGAATTCCATTCTTTACCGGTTCTTAAATTGAAACTAAAGGCGAAAGGTTTCGTGATTGTGGCTGGGATATCCACTATGAAGCGATGAAAAATTCTAAGTTTGTTACCGTTAGTGTTTAATGAGAAAATCATTCTAAGCACGAATTAAAACCTCGTAATAAGTATATCCTAAATGTTATCCATCTAAATACCCTTCCGTCTCTAGTCACATCCTTTTCCATAAGAGGACAATTATTCCAATTAATACTTTGAAAAGTCAGAATTTTGTTAAACATAAATTTATTAATTGGATTTCAGCGGGCCTGTGTTTTAAATTCAGCATCGTCGCGCAATGCTTGATAAAGCTTACGGCTTACCAATGATAAATTGTTGTGTGGCAACACTTTTATTGTTGAACATTTTGTTTGTCCTAGTTTTTATGATTTTCAAGCAAATTAATTAATACGAAGACAAAGTAATGACGGGCCCGACGATGTACATTTTTGCCGTAAAACTTTAAGCACTTTTTTCTACTCAATTTTACACTCAAAGGAGTTGGCAAAGGTGCACATAAATCTGTAAATAATATGTGAAACACTAAACCGTGTACTCATGTGCACTTATCACCAGTTCGGTATATAATGAGTTCAATTTAATTAATAGGTCTAGATCTTTTTGCCAAAACCTGGGTATTATTCCAGACTCCGGGCTAGAAATAACACCAACAGCAACACCAGAGAAGTAACAAGTACGTTGCTGTTTTTTGGGGATTAGGGTTTCGAAGATTTTGGGATTGGAAAGGGAAAGGATTGGGCCTCCAGTAACCTCACTCACACGACGAAACACAACACTGAGGTCGTGGTATCACTCCTGTTGAGCAAACCCACACGTCCGAAACATAGCTCTTTTCAACTTAAGCTTTGATAATGTAACAATCGTAATAAAGAACTCTTTGTCTCATTTCGAATGAAAATAAAACATTTGCTATCTCCCCTGAGAAATTGAGCTGTCTGCTATAATATTTAGAATCTATCCTCCAGAAAAGCATCCCTCAAAACAAATATTTGAACGGGTGTTAGCTCTCCAGCTTGAACATCGGAGACTAGCGACTTAATTGCTTTACGGAATATCGATGGCGCGGACACTGCATAGTGGACAGAAATCTTGTAAAAGCACGGTAGCAGCTGATTTAAAATAATTTAATTTCAGAACATTTGGATCGATCTACAGAAATTTAAAAGAATTGAGTAGAACTGATAAAAAAGTCGACAAGATCTATCTTAATTTAAAATAGTTGGATTACAAGTTCTTTGGAATGACATCTATTATTATTTGTCCTTTAGAAAAACAAAATTGTATTATAATCGGTCAGTAATATACGTCACGACGTCTCCTGCCTGTTGCGTCTTATCAAGTAAATAATCTATTTTATTTAATAAATAAAAAAATGTTCATCTATTATGACAATCGGATTTGGATGGGACCACTTCAGAGCGATCCGTTTCGAATACCAGTTTTTCCAGTTTTGTTAACGACTTGTCTCTCTCCCCCATGCCAAAATCCTCAAATCCATAAAGCGAAAAGCTTACTCTTCATACATTTGACCTCTTAAAAATCCTTATTTCTGTTAGGGTGGTGTTGCGGGTATCCATGGGCAATGTCGAGTGCGTACTATCAGGTAACAAAACTGCCCTGGCGCCTATCACATAAAAAAAACTACTTACTTACTAGACTGTCAATAAAATAATGTTCAGCAATACTTACTTTCTTCTTCTCCTGGCTCCTGCTGCCATATCTTCACTGTACAGCTGTAGCAGCAAAGCTTCTTCCTGGAGCTTCGTGTTCTGAGCGTCAACACGTGCGATCCATTTGTTGTTTGCCTATAAGTTTATTATAATAAAGATTTCACAGATATATTCTGCAAGAGCATAGTCTACAATTAAACTAATTACTAAGTTTTCAAGACAAATCATTATTGGCATTGGATGCAGTAAGATTTTATTATTTGCTTCAGAAACCAATATTTTAATACATACAAATTAGGCCGCCAAACTATCCTACTTTTGCCGTCTACGGATAAAAAAAGATAAAAAATAATATCTCCTTAACGGTTTTTTTTTGTGAGGCGAAAATCATCAAAGGACTGCTCCCAGGGCCGGGCGGGAGGGAGTGTCCGACTCTTACCGACTAAAAACCCCCTGTTCCTTCTCCTGCTCTGGGCCGAGGTCGCGGTGCTTCATTGCGCTTACCCCACAACCCCGGATCACCTTAAACGGTACCTCGTCAACAAGGCTATGATATATCTTAAAAAGAATTTTCACTTTAACTCTACCCAGTCAACATAATCTTGGGTGTTGATTTTATTAAAAGTCTTAGAGTAAACAAAAACCAATTACTAGGACGATTTTGCAGAGCAGAGCCACATAATGGTTGCGCGTCCTCAGTCTATCGTTCACTACAACCGCAGAAACCACTTTCCACAAACGTGTTCAATGAGATTAACTCACAGAATATATTATTATCTCACGTACACCTAATTTAGGTTTCGAATTCTCATGTTTTTTTAAGTTAAAGGTACTCACGTAGTTTTTTTTAGACATTGGGATAATTTTTTTCGGCTAGGTACATTTTCCGTATCCATTCTTATCTACATCGAAATTAACCATGTGATCGGGACCAAACTAATAACACAATCATTAATACGGAACTTCTATCTACTACTTTTAAATATATATGATATCAAAATGAGCGAACGTGAGAAAAAGTAATATCAAAATCGTTCTCATTAGTTGGACTAATAACTTATTTCTGCATATTATTATTTACCAGTTCATTGCAACATTATAGAGAAAATATACCAACTGGTTTAAAAGACTTTACTAAATGATAGTTGACAATCTCAAAAAAGCCTATCAACACGCAAATCCCTGGGATAAAACCTCGTTGGGTATTTTGCATTGCATTGTCATCGCTCCAGGGACGAAATTCAACTAGAGATCGAATTTGTCGGCAGTTCGAGCATGGATTTTAAATATTTATGTGCGCTTGAGAGATGAATGAAAAAATCTCTACGGTATATTCGAAGTGTAATGGAGTGCCCGATATACAGGCAAATACCATTTCATCATTTTATTTGTACATGTATACTTATATTTTATGAAACGGAATAAATGCTTTTACTCATAAAGGTTGGGTGGATGCTTAAACTGTGTATGTGTATGAATACGAAAGGATTCGGTCGCTATAAAGTTTTTATGTACATTTGAACCGTTGCTATATGAAGTTAAGTCATTCCAAAATAAATAAATGAAAACGCTTTCTCGTATTTAATAACAGTATATATTTATGGGAAATAAGTCAAAATACTAATATGGTTTTAGGTTGTACATATGTATGATAAGAAGAAAACGGATAGGTCATAACAATGATGGATCAATTGTATTTGTTACTGACGTAAAAAGCCACCATACTTATTTTTATGTGCGTTAATACATTCTATATGTAATATAATGTCTGTAATTACCTCAGTTTCCAACCGCACCAGCTTTGATTCCCTCTCCTGTTTCAGTCTGTTTAGCCTCTTCTTCTCATTCGCCCTCCACTGGCGTATCATTGTGATCTTACGACGGAGTTCCATCTCTGCTGCAGCTTGTACTCTTTGCTTGATCCTATTCTGTTTATCCCGAGCCTTCATTGCTCGCTCCTTGCGCTGTTTAGCGTTGAACTCTGCTAAATATTTCATTCGAGCTTGGATTTTCTTCTCTTGAGCTTTGGCACTGAAAGAGATTGTCAATAATTTATTACGAAAAATAATTTTGTTGGCTTATTGGACTTTAGTTGGCACAGAAAAGCAAGGGAAAGTGCTGAAGGGAAAACAAATAACTAAATAAATATTCATAAAGTCAGTCTATTTTTAGGCACTTGAAAATTGTTTTCTGTCGTGTCCGTTATTCAATGCTATTATAAGGAGAAGAAACTGACCGCAATAAGTTTACGTTTAAGGGTCTTAAATTATCAGCTATCTATAGAAAGACTCTAAAACTCCCGCGATGTCACCTATTTATTAAATAGCATACATTACAACCCTATCATTTTGCAATAAAATTAATTGTCCAACATAACTTAACAATTAGAACTAATTACCACAAACGATTTACTTGGTTTGCAAACAAAAACTCTTTGGACACCAAACGTAGTATTTTCTGGAAATACTTTGGTTTTACGTTGCTCAACGTATGAATATCGGAATAAGATTCATGAACCAATTTCATGCTCCCAATGAATATTGATGTGCCAAAACCTTTTACTTTTTTACGTTGATTTCATTATTGTATTTCATGTAAAACAGATTTCATCTGAATATAAAATAAGGTGACACATTGTACGTACTCTTATCATATGTCTTTATATGTCAAGTTTTCTGTGTATTGCGAGTTGATTGTGATATGTCGACAGACACCAATAGGACACGGTGATTCAGGGTGTCTTGTCTAAAAGTAAGTTTGAGAATTTAATAAGTTTGCATGTAAGGGTCGTTGGAACAGCTGGTCGGATTTTCAAAATTCTTTCGCTGATATTCCTGATTGCTAAAGACTATAAATTATACTTGATTTACGTATTATAGTCGAGCTATCGCTTTAAACGCTACTGTATTTAAAATCCCGGGATACATTGTTTTTATATGGAACTTTTATTTCACTAGTTTGCAATAAAGTGACATGCATAACCCTAGGTTGAAAAAGTCTCCATTTTTTTTTAAATTTTGTATTACTAGATATTGTCAGTAGCTTCCCCTGCGCTATACACACCTACATGATATTCCAGACTAAAATCTGTCTCTGTATGAATTTTCATCAAAATCCATTCAGTAGTTTTGCGATACATTAGATGATGGAAGTATGGATATATACTTCCACCATTATAATATAAGTAGAACAAGTAAAACTAAGAAATGTTAAATGTAGTTTAATACAAAACAATGTGAGGCATGTGGAAGATACATACACATATGTATATGTACTTTTTTATGTTATAGATCGGCAAACGAGCAGACGGATTACCTGATGGTAAGTAATCAACGCCGCCCATGGACACCCGCAACGGCGCGGAGCAGTTACGAGTGCGTTGCCGACCTTTTAGGGATTAGGAATTGAGGAGGGATTGGGGGTGGGGAAGATTTGGGCCTATATAATATAGTCTTAATATAGATTTGATAAAATTTAATGTCCTTCTAGACGTAAGTTTCCTAACGTAAACCAATAAAATTTTTCTTAATTCGACAGACAAGCTGAGTAATTCATCAAGCCATGTTGATTATAAACGCATTAAATTAGCTCTGCTTGAAGTATTGTGATTGTGATAAATTGTAATGGTCGTGCCATACATAGTCAATGGTTTGGTTTGTTAGTCAATTAGACTGGTTATATTCACTATATTCTACGGTAATTTTAACATCTCGTAGTAACTTATCAAGAATATTTCTTAACGATTTAAATATTCTTTATTGGCTTCGAAACAAAGTACAATCTCAATTCAATCGACATTTTTAATAGGTACTATCGTGAGATATTCTAATTTTATTGAAAAAAAGAAACGAATTATTCATTAATTAACTGAGAAAAGCTCTATTAGTTTCAAGTCACAACAGGACTCTTATTCATGATCTGCACACTTCTTTATCTGTTCTGTGATGATCTGCATGCGCGGCGACCGTGACGTCCCACAGCCGACCATCATTACCGATTTTTAAAATTTCTAGGCATAAAACAACTTATTTTGCTTATATTAATAATAATATTGATTTTTATTAGTTTGTACTTGTGAAACATAACGTCTAAAATATAGTATTACAAGTTTTTGAGTTGCCATTTTCAGCCGGAGAATCTCCGATGAAGAAAAAAGCGTTACACATGCATCAAAAAAATCTAAATGTGTTTGTCAGAATACCCGCTATTGGCAGGCGCCTAGTGCTGGAGTCAGGTCATTAAAGACTCAAAAGTTTTAGCGTTTGTTAAAATAAAAAAAAAACATATAAAATTCTTCAACATCTAAATTTTAACAACACTGCAAGTTATATTCAGAATGACATCATTAAAACTTGGCTCGATCAGAAACGCAAGGGTGCTGGAGAATTTTCTAGAATACCGCCGCCATCTTTCAAATCGAAACGTCGAGCCTTTGCGGTAGGAGCAAGGCATGCTCCTTTTAATTAAAACCTACTTTTCATTCATACGTCGCGACGTTTGAGTTAAACACACGAAACGGAGAACTCCTTCGTGGTTTATTTCAATTCTGAGTAATGAGTGACGTTACGTCTCAGCTATAATTGTCACCAGTACATATATAGGAGAAAATTTCGCAAGGGTTAAAATAGACAAAAGTATTAATTCAAGGACTTTTTTCTTGTCAAATTACTATGTATACATAAATAAGATAGCAATAAATGCTTGACTGCACGGTTGGCGCAGTGGCTGGGCAACTGGCTGCTGTGCAACGTGTCGCGGGTTCGATTCCCGCACGGAACAACACTTTGTGTGATCCACAAATTGTTGTTTCGGGTCTGGGTGTGTTGTGTATTTCAATTTGTATGTTTGTAAACGCACCCACGACACAGGAGAAAATCCTAGAGTGGGGCAACGTTTTTTTTTTAAAAAAAATATGAAAAACGTAGGTAAAGAGAAATTAATACTGAATGGACCTAATGCTGAATAAAATACCTGTAGAGATTATACCGAAGATAATTAATATAAAAAAGAAAAAAGAATATATAAAAAAAGTCTATCAAACAAACCAAAGTTGCCAGAAGACTAGAATGCGATTTCTAGAAACTATGAAAAGAACATTCTGGACGCACGCTAAAGCTTTTTAGGTAGCTGTTATTTTTAGGTGCATAGCTGGAATAACATTGTACACATCGCCTGTTGTTTTTAGATGCATAGCTAGAATAACTTTATTAAACATTTTAAATTTACGTAAAACAAGCATATCCCTTGTGAGAGCACAGCTATGTTGTTAGTGTTCCCACAGGCGAAGACTTAATGAGTTCGTGTGTCTAGGTTGCAGGATGCATGGCCGAGTCTCGGGTGGTTAGTGTAAAAAGCAATTAAGGACGATCACTAGGGAAAATTGGGACAGTTGTACTTGTCACATTAGGATTTTTGACACTACATTGGCTTTTTAGGCAATATTTTAATATGCACAGTATTTTCGAAAACATAAGCAACATGTTTTTGGCCTTTATTATCTATTTTATCGTGACATTATTTTGGGCTATAAACTGAAGCACAGGGTCTAGATTGCAGCCGCAAAGAACCGGCTAGCTGGGGACCAACAAGATCCATGTTTAGCCGGGATTGCGGGGCTAACGCAATAAGGTACCTCGGCCTCGGCCCCGGAGAAGGTGATTTTTAGTCAGTAATGGTCTGATATTCCCTATTGCGCCAAACTCCTCAAAAAAGCATCCAGTCGACAGTCATGCTACTACTTTTAATAATTTTGAAGATAGATAAATTGTATAAAATCGCTTCAACAAGACAAATTTCATTTAGACAATACGTGTTTGCTACAAGCTACGCTTTTACTTCATTCAAAGATTGACACAGCCCAACAAACGAGCAGTTACCTCGTACTTGTCGAATGTCATCATTAAATAGGTTATGCAAATGCAGGCAAGTTTCGGCGCGAAGTCAACTGCAAGATGCACTGACTTGAGTAACAAGAACTAACACTGCATACAAATATTGGATCCGGAGTATTAACTTAGATGCTGATGTGTGAATCTGTTTGTATGTTCTGCTTTGAGGTATGTGCTTGTATTTGATCTGTAGGTTCGTCAGTCTGTGGCATTTCTGATGAATGGCTAAAGTTCTTGTCCCCAATGAAACTCCACGTTGAAGTTGTCTAAGTTCTAAGACTGAGAAACTTGGCTACATGATTGTTAGTGTTTAAATTGAGGTAATTGTTTATTAGGGTGGTTTACGTAATCACTTTAAAAGACAAAGTTATATTAATTTAAATCAGAGCTTTTGTAAGTTAGGATCTCGGTTAGTTCTATGGCTATTGAAATGAAAGGGCAAGAAACTTAATGACTCCACATTTTCTTTCACAATACCTGTAAAACTCTCCTTTTGTATCATGTTGTTATCATACATGTACTTTACCAAAAAACTGACTTAAAAGAAAGTCACAGGGACAACTTAGTTCGTTTATGTATATGTATTGATTTTGTATTAACAATGCGACACAAAATACCTACCACTGTGTTGCATGCACGCATGATACTGATTAAGGTGATGTAAGACGCCGTGATATGACTTTGTTCGTGTCAAGAGTAACATTTTATTGAGTACAGCGTAATAATGTAATCATTCAATAGCATTGTGGTCATTCATATTGTGTTTAAAATAATTTTGTATTGTTGCCGCTGTGGCTAGACCGTCAGCTGCTATGCAACGTGTAGCGGGTTGTATTGGAATATTATATTTGATATGCAATTTAGGAATTTTCCAGGTCTGTGTGTACGTTTATAAATGCAATCAGGACATAAGAAAAACAACTTTTTTTATTATACAAATAATACGTAAATAAGAAAGGAGAAAGCAGGCTTTAATAAATCGGGAGTAGCCCTTTTTAATTGGGAAGAAATGCCTATATAAATAGATTCATTATGGTGATTAAACAAATTAATCATAAGTGACACGTCTTATACACTTAAATATAGGTATATTTAAACTAGTATTTTCTATTCGTTTTATTGAATTTCAATTTTGCGTAAGTA